AAAGAGATTGAAGACTCTATTTCTGGGTTTTTTGGATCGGTGTCAAATGTGGATGATAAAGGTCAAGAAAAGGAGAGAAAGAAGGGTAGAAAGAGAAAGTAGGTGGCGGAGTGATAGTGGCAGTGGTGGGGTGGTTGTGGAGAAGAGAGAAATGAGGTTTTGGAGAGAGAGCGAGATGTGAGGATGAAGAAGACGATGACGTTGTTCTATTGAAGATGATGATGAAGAGAAAGAGCGAAGGACGAGGAATTGGAGCTACGTTAATGGCGTTGAAGGTCGCCACATTTTCAGAGAGTTCTAGAGAGAGTGTGTGATGTGAGTGCGTCTCTCTTTCTCTCTCTACTAGTTCAGCTTCACATTTTCAGAGAGTTATAGAGAGAGAGAGTTTGGGTAAGAGTGGTGGATTTGCATCTTTCTTTTGAAATTTGGGGCCCAAATGTAATTTTTTTAATTTTTTTCATTTCAAATGTGACGGCAGGGACAAAATTGATACGATTTCAAAAACTTTGGGGGTAAACTTAAAATTATTCAAAATCTAGGGGTGTAATTGAAAATCAAGGCAAAGCATAGTGATAAAAATGAAATTTTCTCTTTAAACTTTTTATTCGACAAATCTTAAGATTTGTAGGAATGGGTTGTATTAGTGATCTATGGTTATAATTTGGACCAATTACATTATGGTATTGTTATGTGCTTTTCTAGAGAAAACAAGAAGTTGCGGTTAAGCTAGAGTTGTTATATATAGTCAAACATCTTATAAACATCAAGTCTTTTAAATCTATGTTAATTTTAAACAATGCCCTTGGAGAATTTGTTAATGTGCATTTAATGCATATTAACTTGTATTGATATTTAGTAAAATTTTAATTTTAATATACTCATTAAAATGTATGCATTTATTATTTACCTATTTCTACTTTTTTTTATTTACAACCATTTAGCAGTTTAATGCCATGTATTTCCATACACAAAAATGATATTATCTAAAATTTTAGCCATTTTCAATAGAGAATGACCTTTAAATCAATAGAGAAATTATGAGACTTGAAAATTGTGTTTGTGTTTAGAGTAACTCAAAACTTGAAGGTTCTTGCTAACATCTGTTCCAAAAGCACAAGAAAAAGACGGCAAAAAAAGAAAGAAAGAAAGATATAGAATTCATAGCACTTTTCACTATTTTCAAAACTTCCAAAACACATTTTACACGAATCCCAACATAAACAATGTCCATAAGTCACTTGTTAATATTTGCCAAACTTGAAAACAACAAAAGAATCTAGTCAAGTTCATAAATTTTATTATTATTGTTTCTCAACTCTTATCTTTCTTCAAAAGTAAAAGGGAAAAGAAAGCACAAGATAATAGAAACAAGAGACTAATTAGAAGCACATATATCGATACACTAACACAATTTTTTTTTTAAAATTAAAATACACACGACAGAGTCACAATCACAAATAAAATATATTTTGATACATATACAAAAATATATTTATTATATCAAAATGTTAAGAAACCATTTTTCATAATCTACGTATTAGAGAAAAAGTATAAACAATCTAATATCTATTTTAGAAACTTCATTGATAAATAAATTGAACAGAATAATAAATGTGGGGACATAATTTTCGTGTTGTCCACATAGCTTAGCCATTAGTCGAGGTGCCACACGGCAGAGTGTTATCGGCCGAGGTGTGGAAACGATTCATACTAGATCCGAGATACATAAAGGGTGTGGAAACGATTCACACTAGATCCGAGATACACAAAGGATGACATGAGTCCTAAATGAAGATTGACTCCTAGATTGGGCAAGTTAGGGCTTTTGTGAGAGGTAAATTCAAACCTAATTAGGAGAGATGAGTCCTAGGTGATTTGTTATTCCTAAAAGGAATAAGAGTTTTGAGTAGAATATGATCACTATGAGGAGGTGGGGCACTCTATATAAACATAGGTACCCCCATGGGTTAGAGAGATGTGTGACTTTATCTGTGATTTATTGCTCAAGTTTATTGTTTCTTTGTCAAATTATCTTTGAGAGATTTGTTTATTAACTTTATCATCGAAGTGCCCTACCAGTTGATGAGCAATCGGGTTAGTTATTTTGTCCATTCTTATAGTTGTGGATCTTATTTATTGCACGTGCTCTTCAACTTTGTTCCCAAAATTCCAAGAAAAATATTAGAGTTTGGTTGTGTGGTCAGATTTTAGCACACAAAAAATATAAATTCACATTATTTTATTTTATTATTGGATCTCAAGTTATTTTGTTTAAAGTTGCAACATATTTTATGTGTCTAGAATGATAAATACAATGTCCATTTCCTAAATATCTTTGAGTGTGTTCCATTCTAAAAAATTAATTATACATATTTGGTGAAAAGCCTCTCAAAATAGTTTTATCATTGAAGAAGGATACTTCAATAATTTTTGATGAATAAAGTCCTTCACTTTCTAAATTTCGATGCTTATAATTTTTTGGGACTGATTTGTCATTGCATCCTATCTCATGAACAATTATATATTGGTTGTCATAAGTGAGTTGGACGAGGAACAGTCCCAATCGACATCACTCTAGGAAATGTACTTCTCACAATGAATTGTCGATCCTTGCTAATTGCCTCATTTCTTGTAAGAGTTTATTCCCTCGTTGATCTTCCTCATTCAACCCATTCGATGATGAACATGACATGATCTCTTTGCTTTCTCCTACATTTGATCAATTTGGATTCAATTTCAAATTTCATTCATTTGCATGTTTCAGTTTTTCTATTTTATTCAAAGTTGTGATGAAAAAAAGAACAAAGGTTTCAAAAATGAGGGGTAATGGTGCTATTTATTTATGAAATCTGAAACAAATGAAATCATAATAGTCCATGTACCGGTAATAGTGCTCTAAGTGGAGTTGTCTGAAATCATATTTAATTCAAATGAAAACACCGATTCTTTCAAAGAGTACTTCTCACTAGCTCTCCATGTGTCCATTCGACTAGTGTAGTACAAAATTTGCGGGATTCTATATGAACCTTTTTTGATCAGCTAAAGAAGAGGCCCTTTATTAATGATATAAAAATAACATCAATATAGGGAAGGAAAGGAAAGAAAATGCATCATAGTGATCTCGACTCATAGCACAAGGGAGACACCAATCATCTGCAAACCCACCCCCTCTCCCCCAAAAAATATATATATATATATAGAAATTTGGTTTCAACAGATCTTCGAAGGATAGGCCAAAAATCCGAGGTTCATTGGAAGCGGTGCTTAGCCCACATGACTCAATATCATAGGAGATGGAATTCTTTGAAGCAAAAATATGCGAAGCAATTAAGAATTGTGATGGGAATGAATCTTTGGGACCAGATGGATTCAACCTTTTTTTCTTCCTCAATAAGTATTGGAACATAATTAAAGGTGACCTAATGCAGTTCATGAAAGATTTTCACAATAATGGGAAGCTAGTCAATGCTCTTTTCTTTTGATCGACGAAAAAAGAACTTAATTGAATAAGAATTAAGGAAAAATCCTTACATCTTACATCAATAAAGACAAAAGCCTATGAGATGCTATAAGCATCAAAGTGTTTTTCCCCTCATCACAATTAGGTTGGCACAAAAAGATAGTGGTATTCTCTCTCTTCTTTTTTTCATAACTAGAGATTGGATACTTGTGTAAGAAAGACAATGTATCTCATATCCTTGTCTTCTCTTAAGCAACGAATTGTTCCTCGCTTGTCTACTAAGTCAGAGTATAAAGCTTTTGCCGACATTGCAATTGAGTTTTGGATTCAATCTTTTTTTATTTGAGCTTAGCATCTTTCTTCCTAAAGCTCCTATTATGTAGTGTGACAATGTTGGGGCCACTAACCTCTTAGCGAATCCGATATTTCATGCATGCACTAAACATGCCAAAATTGACTTTCTTTTTATCTACAATAAGATGGTGCATAAGGATTTAATAGTCAACTACATGTCATCTAATGATAAAAGTATTGATATCATGTCAAGGGGTCTCACCTCCACACGCTTCATTTTTCTCCATAGCAAGCTTAAGCTAACTCTCTGGTTTCCTTTAACTTAAGGGGGCTTATTGAAGCATATGTCAACTTGTGTTTATCACTAACAACATCTTGTTACACTTGCTAATGTATATCCCCAATATACATAATAATGTAGATCCTTAGCATGACTCCTAATCCTTATTTGTAAAGCAAGCTTTGTATAAATAGACTAAATCTCATGGCTAGAGATGTGGGAGAAACTTTTTATTTTATTTTATTTTGAATTGTGCCTTTTTCTTAGCATGACTCCTAAGCCTCTTTCTTTCACTTGCAATAATCATCATAGAATGTCATTATCTAGGACTACATAAAATATTCAACTAAATGTATCTCACACTCCTAGTTGAGCATTTCATATTCCTATGCATCTATATTAAATACTTTTTTTTTTTTGATCAGCAAAGAAAAATTTCATTAACGGCATGAAATTAAAGGTATAGGAAGATGACATGCATCGAGAGAGATTCGGAAAGTACAAAATACCCCTACTACTGCTACTTGCATCCATACAACCAACCCCTTGGCCTCACGATTTTTTTTTTTTTTTTAAATAAAAAAGTTAAGAAGAACTTAACTAGAAAATAGAATACTTGAATCCCCACAAAATTACCCACAAAACCCAAAAACAAAGCTGCTACACACCCAACGCCTACCTGCTAATTTAAAACTAAAACTTTACCGCCCACTAGCTATTTTTTGAAACTAAAATAATCACCTATACTGCTTCAACTCCCAACACCTATGCTGCTTCATATCTATACCGCCCACCTGCTGCACACCCACGCCTGACAACTCCCAAAGCCCAACGCCCACCTGCTACTACTGCTAAATCTGTACACCACGCTCCTCTACACCTCCCAACTCCCACCTGCTAAATCTTTTCACCACGCTTCTCTGGCCGGAAAAATCCATAGCCAACATCACCACGGCTTGAAGAACTTCCATGCCTGACATCTCCAAGCTGCTATACTATTGCTATATCTTTACCACCCACGCTGCTACACTCCACACGCTGCTTCACTTCCACTGCCCAGCGAAGGCCCACGCCGGACAACACACTGCCAACACCCAACTACACCCACGGACAACACCCAAGGCCACACCTCTCCGACGCGGTGGTTCAAAACTTTGAACACACCCAAGGCCGATCAACACTCATGACAACAAGACCCACTGCAGGTACTACTCCACCGTCCCTATATTGACGACCCAACGCCGAACTCCTCTTATTCAAAACAACCGCTGAGATACCACCACACATCTATATTAAATACTTACATGCATTCACCTAGATTAATTATATTGTAGCAAATTGTAGATGACCTTTTTCTAATACCCTCCTTAATTCACAATCTTTTCAAAATATGCCCAAGATAAATTCACCGTAGAAGATTCCTGATCATTTGCAATATACTTGTCCAAAAATTTGAACAAATTTGTATCACTATGTTCTCCATTTTTTTTTTTTTTTTTTGATCGGCAAAAAAAAAACTTTATTGATGAGAACCAAAGTACAAGGTACAAACAAAACAACAATAAAAAGAGGCGAGTGCAAAAGTATCACAATGAGCTAAATTATCCCAATTATATTAGCACCAAAGAGCCCATCCTATCATTTGCTAGCACCCCCAAAGCTGGTGAGCCACCAACTAGAAAACATAAAAAAAAGACAAGCAACAAAAACAGATATCTACAAATATTAGCACAGCTTAGCATAGTAGGCACAAAATATCAGCTTAGCATAGTAGGCACAAAACACAGCTTAGCATGGCAGTCACCATGGCAGTTTAGCAGATATCTCCTCTATATCATTAGCACAGCCTAGCAGTCACCATATCAGTTCACCATTCCACAAATTAGCATAGCAGGCACAAACTAGATAGCCTCCCCCTGATTGTACAAACACCAAAACCAGAGGAACTCCTCCACTGCTGAGCATAGCAGGCCAACAGATCAGGTCTTTGGCTCTTCCTATTATCACCCACCAAGACTTTGCATCTATTTCCTCCCAAACAATACATGATGCCTCTGAGATCATAAATGAAATCCTGATGGTCAACATTTTATTCACTAAGCTGGGCTACCCCACACCAGAAGCAGATTTAGGAACTGACGGAGAGCTGGGCACCCTTCTATTCTCTGAGCTGGGCTGCCCCACTCCATGGACAGATTCAAAACCAAATTTAGTGCTATTATCAGCCCAAGTATCTGGTATTTCAGCCCCTTGGGCCAACCCATCCCAACTTGTGTCAACATGGGCCCTATTTAAATCCACCACCCCCAGATTAATTCCTTGTTGCTTCCCTACAGACCCACTTGTGCTTTTGATAAACCCAGATGTGACCACCTCATCATCAACTCTATAGCTACCCTCTTTGCGTGCGCCATCCTTCTCTGATGCCCCTTTACAGAGCCTGTTTCACGTGCGATGCCTACCTCTGACCTTCCCTCCATCATTTCTGTCTCCTCTACCACCGAAACTTCCTTCAAGCTGGCATCCTCCTCCATGTCATTCATATTAACATGTGCATCCACCCTGTCCCCTGCTTCCCCGTCACAACCTTTAACCACCTCATCACCCATCTGTAATGCCACATCATCTTCTTCTTCCTCTTGTTTGCTTCCTTGATCTTCAATAGTCTCATCTTCTTCTTCTGAGCTGTAACTGTCTTCATTATTCCTCATAAAAGATTGGCAGATACAATGTTCTTTCACTATTTGATTGACTATGATTTGTTCCTCACAAATCCTAACTAGATAAATTACACCTTTACAATCTAGGTTAATTGTGTGATTAATGGTTCCCACGGATCTTGTTGCAACCTTTACCTTCCCATAATGGAAAGAATTCAGGTTAACTGTGTCTGCATCCAGTTCCATAACCTCTTCCCACTCTCTACCTATGCTGCAAAATGTGTTGTTCCATAAGACCACTGGCACACCGTAACAGCTTAGCCACACCTACCTCACTTGTTCCAAGACCATTCTATATTCCCATTCTTCAACCGATTCACACCAATCTGTGATCCAGTCCTTCATGATCAAAAGCTTTTCCTTCATAGCTTCCACTGATTGAAAGGAGAGAACTAGTTGTCTGCCACCGCCTACTCGAACAGTGACGTCTCCATGACCTCTTCTCTGTAATTCCTCCTTAAAAGCTTCGACTGAGGTAGTTGAATTTAGTCTGACCACTGCGTTTTCATTCATCCATCCATCACCGGCTTTCTGTACCTTAATAGGGCAAACTGAGTTAGGTTGAAGCACCCTATCTCGGACCACATCAACATGTGACTTTCTCCCCTGATAATGGTCATATACAGTGTGATTGCCTTCCTGATCCCACCTCTGTTGTACTAGATGTGGCTTGCTTTGTTTTGTACCCTCCTCCTTTTTGAACACAGATTTTAACCTTTAGCGCCTTGTCATCACACCAAAGGCCATTAGCTTTTCGTAGAGCCACATCAATCGCTACCGAACAATCATACCTGATGAAGCCAAATCTGGATCCTGTAGATCTTCTTCTCTTATTTGGGATATACGCATCCAACACAACTCCAAAATTTGAGAAGATTTTAGACAGCTCTTTTGGCCCCATAGATATAGGTATGTTGTCCACAAACATAGAGTAAATGGTATTCCCCCTTAAAGTTCCAGCTCCTCTACCACCATGCCTGCGAACCACGGGTTGCCATCCTCCATTCCCATGCTTACTTGCTTGCCCTTCAAACTCGTTACCAGATTGCCATGGACACCTAGATGCTAGATTGCTACTCATCTCCTTCTCTAGTTCTTAGCGTTTTTTTTGGTATTAGATTTTCGAGCTTTATAGTAAAAGGAAGAAATGTTACCTGTGATTTTTAGTGAAGGAAAGACATAGTCTGAAAGAAAAATGTACTAAAGATTCAGTGACTTGAAGAATGGGAACGCCTCAACTCAGAACTGCCTTCCCATCTATATGCCGATGAAGGAGAAGGAGACGAAGAAGAAGGCGAAGACAAAGGCCCGAGAAAGTAGTTGTCTTTCAAATGGTGATGGTGGGGACAATCATGATGGCGACCACAATGATGATGATAACGATGATGGAGTTGGAGGAGGAAATCCAGACTTGGGTTTGGGGAGGATGCAAAAATGCTTGAGGACAAGATCTTCTCCAATTATGGCATTTCATGAAGTTACGATCCATCTATTTAGGTGCATATGGAACTTGGGAGTGGTCTATAAGATGTTTTAGTACCAGATAAAGTAAGATCACAATCAGTAATAAATCCAATATGTTGCATTAAGAGCCAATAACCATGGACAACAAAGATTACTGTGATGCAAAAATGAGATGAACCTAATTATTGTTGTTTGCAACCTATAGAACCACCGCATAGATCAGTATTATGAATGGACACATTTGCATGCACTAGAAATATTGAGAACTAACTTATATACACAAAACAAATAATTAACCAAGTCATCTTCTCTATGTAAGTAGACAAAGGAAATTATAATGTTAATACAATGGTGAAATGCAAATGGTATGGAAAAGACAATTAAAGAAAGATGCATTACAAATAAATGACCATTTTTACACTATCAAAGTGAAAGAAAGAATATTCACCATATTTATTTCCTTATTCATAGTAATATGCACTTCCCACCTAGAGTATACTTATGTAAAAACCTTTTTACCTTATCCTCATTGACAATTAAAAAAAAAAACCCTCATTAAGCTCACTCTTTGCTTATTCATTAGAAAGTATCATTAACAAAACAAAGTTATGATGCCTTGACATGTTTTATAGTACGGTATGTTGTGCAATAAAAATAATAATATGTTTACAAAATGAGTGTAGCCAAGATGAGGATACTAAGGTGGAAATGTGCAAAACTAGGCAAGATAAGATTAGGTATGAAAAAATTAGTGAGATGGCAGAGATATCAACTATTGAAGATAAAACGAGAAGAAACTAATTAAGATAGTATGATCATGTACTAAGTGCTTGCCTCCTAATTCATCCTTAGGAAGCGTTGAACTCACGACCTCTCCCTTAGTACTAAACCCTTAGGAGAGTCATAGTGGCCAACTACCATTGATGTTCCAAACACCACCTGCGAATATAACGATACCTCATTCACTAGATTTGTTATAATGTTTTACTACCTTCACTTATCTCATTCATCCATAATGGATTTCATAGTTTGTTGTTTAGAATATTGTGAGAAATCTTCTAAAATAGATTTTCTGGAAAAAAAAAAAAATACCTATAACATAAAACTAACATATATTTAGGTCTTAAAAATGTGGTCATGCATCATTTTGATCCCCATTAAGTTGGAAACATGTTGTAACTTCAGATATTCAAAGTTCCAATTCAAAGTTATGATGCCTTGACATGTTTTATGTTGTAGAAAGCGTCGTTCTTGTGGTCCCTCAGGTCGATGTGGCCAGAATAATAATTATGTGGTCCCAAAGACCGGGCCCAACATGTTTTCCCAATTCTAGATGGGCCTTCAATTATAATGCTCTTGGGCCTATACGGTCTTTGGGCTTCATCTCTTATATTGTCTACAACCCATTGCTGTATTGCTGTTGGAACGACCCATACTGTGTCTGTAAATGGATGAACATACGGCAATGGTGGATTAAATGAAATCCGGTCATAATTTGATGACAACTTGTCATAATTTAACCAGAAACATTTTGGGTCGCCATTTCGTACCACTGCTAGTGCTTCGTCCTTGGTGCCGGCTGCAAGTGCATCCCGATATATATTGTCTTTGTTATTCTGGTTAACGCAGCGGCTCCTCTCACGGAATTCACCCCATTCCGTGTAATCCCCGTGTTTGGAGATGTATTCCAGCACATTCTGTTGGTTGTAGGCCCCTTGTACATTCGGATGGAAACGGCAACTGGTTCGATCGTGAGTAACATCGAAGAAAGATGCATTACAAATAAATGACCATTTTTACACTATCAAAGTGAAAGAAAGAATATTCACCATATTTATTTCCTTATTCATAGTAATATGCATTTCCCACCTAGAGTATACTTATGTAAAAACCTTTATACCTTATCCTCATTGACAATTAAAAAAAAAAAACCCTCATTAAGCTCACTCTTTGCTTATTCATTAGAAAATATCATTAACAAAACAAAGTTATGATGCCTTGACATGTTTTATAATACGGTATGTTGTGCAATAAAAATAATAATATGTTTACAAAATGAGTGTAGCCAAGATGAAGATACTAAGGTGGAAATGTGCAAAACTAGGCAAGATAAGATTAGATATGAAAAAATTAGTGAGATGGCAGAGATATCAACTATTGAAGATAAAACGAGAAGAAACTAATTAAGATAGTATGATCATGTACTAAGTGCTTGCCTCCTAATTCATCCTTAGGAAGAGTTGAACTCACGACCTCTCCCTTAGTACTAAACCCTTAGGAGAGTCATAGTGGCCAACTACCATTGATGTTCCAAACACCACCTGCGAATATAACGATACCTCATTCACTAGATTTGTTATAATGTTTTACTACCTTCACTTAACTCATTCATCCATAATGGATTTCATAGTTTGTTGTTTAGAATATTGTGAGAAATCTTCTAAAATAGATTTTCTAAAAAAAAAAAATAAAATACCTATAACATAAAACTAACATATATTTAGGTCTTAAAAATGTGGTCATGCATCATTTTGATCCACATTAAGTTGGAAACATGTTGTAACTTCAGATATTCAAAGTTCCAATTCAAAAACGTAATGTTGGAACCCATTAATTAAAAGTTTGTTTAGGTATTCTATATATGAAAATTATAGTCAACGCTCTGTACTTTTGGCCAAATCCCACTTTGGTCTCTGTACATAAAATTGTGACAATCGGAGTGAAATCGTTAATTGCAGTGAATTTGTGAGAGTGATCTCAACATGAGTAGAGGTGGGGGTTGGATCCCGGTGCTGAGACAAAGGAGAGGAGGTGGAGCACAAGGTAATGAAGCAAGGTATGGAGTTGTTACTGTTTTCGTGGACAACATACCCTCAGCAATGGCTGCAAAGGCTCTGTTCAAACTATTTTCAAATTTTGGGATTGTGAAGGAAGTATTTATCCCATACAAAAGAAGGCAAGCGACAAACTCACGCTTTGGGTTTGTGAGATATGACTGTCAGGTAGCAGCAGCTGTTGCCATTCAAAAAGGTAACGGCCTTTTGGTGGATGATAAGGTGCTGGAGGTCAAAGTTGCTGCATATGATAGAAATAACAGAGGTGAACAAGGAAGGGGGAAGCCTCAGCATTCCAGAAGGGCCCCACACACAAACAACTTTAGTGGAAAAGCTGCATTAGTGGGTCATAGATCTTTCGCAGAGGTACTAAAAGGGGACATTCCTTCAACGGCTGGGGAAGAAAGCATGGAGATTCAAGCCTTTGAAGAAGGCAACGGTTGGCTATATGATAGTGCAATCATCGAATTCAATACAGAATATCCCACTCACATTATTTCAAAAGCCCTGAAGGAGAAAGCATTGGAGCAGGTAGTGGTCAGAAAAAGGGGAGGTCGTGATATAATATTATCTTTTAAATCTCAAGCGGAACTGCATTCAAACATCGGCCAGCTCAAAGATTGGTTCAAGGACTGGAGTCTTTCCGTGTCGGAATGGAAGCCTGGCTTTCATCTACAACCTGAGAGATGTATATGGCTGAGATGCTTTGGCATACCACTGAATCTATGGAATAGAAATACTCTAAATAACATTGGGCGCACATGGGGTTCTGTTCTTAGTTTAGAGGGTGACTTATGTCAACCAAAGTCATTCTCTCATGCTAGAATTAGAGTGGTCACTGGGTGTATGGAATATATCAATAGAACTGTCAACTTGAAGTGTAATGGAAGTTCACATCCCGTTCTAATCTGTGAAGATCATTTAGCTTTCTCCGATTGCTTGGACCACAACGGTTTGGAGGAGTTCAGCTCCATTGGAAATTGCTACAGTAAGGAGAGTAGAAATGTTTCAGGGACAAATGTCAGAATTAAGAACGACGGTGATGGGGCGGTAGCTCAACAGCAGGGGCTCTCTGTCGATCACATAGGTGAGGCAGTGGATACTGTTATTGAGGAGACACTAGCTGTAGGAGGTTTCAGCAAAAAGAAGGAAGCAAGCATTGAGGAGCCTCTGTCGGAAGGGTCAGATCGTAATTCAAAAAGCAATGATGACAATCTTAGGTGTATCCCTCAAGTCTATACACCCGGGTTTATCAAAAACTTCAATGAAGATGGTGATGGGCCTGGACATGGCACTAATTTGGAAGAGTTATCGGCAATGGAGTCCAGAAAAGACTTTGGGCCTGGCATTAATTTGGAAGTGGTTTTCGCCTATTCTTTAAATAAGTTCTCAGATTGTGGTCCTTCTAATAGGCCCAAGGACGTGGTTAGTACCAAACATGGCAATTTTGTTTCTTTGGCCTCATCCATTCCTCACATGCAATCTGCTGGGCCTAATCTCTCTGCTGGGAAGAGTTTTTTGACCCCTTACCCCAATTCAAAACTCCAACAATTTACGAAGAGAAGGGAAAAAAAGAAATCTCAGCTTGAAGGATTTTCTAGCTTTGCTAGAATTCATGGCTACAAGGCTGCTACAGTTCATAAGCAATCCTCCAAGAATGTCATTTTCAGACCAGCTGCATCTGCTCTTGCACATTCGGATCTGTCTGGAAGTTCTTCATCTTTCAACCACTGTCTCCTCCAAGAAGCTAAAGACACAATGCATCTGGGGAAATCCCTAGGAATCAACTTTAATGGGATGGAAGATGTTGTTCTAAGCAAGATCATTGATCTAGAGTTTCAAGACCAGGAGAGAATTATCAAGGATGGGAAGGCTCAGCAGTAATATGCTGTAGATGGGTGCCTTGAGTGTATTTCTTTGTTTCTTGATAAAGTTACTCTCCTGGAATATTAGGGGTTTGGGAAAACCTGAGAAAAAGGGTAGAATCAAATGCCTTCTAAAGGATAGACTTATTAATATTGTTTTCGTTCAAGAGACCAAGAAAACAATGGTTTTAGAAAATGTTGTAAGGGGACTTTGGGGAAGCAGAAACATGGAATATATGTCTGTAGACCCTGATGGATCTGCGGGTGGGCTCCTATGCATTTGGGATCCTGCTGTTTTCCAACTATCTGGCTGCTGTTGTAATAGGAGGTACATATTACTCTCCGGCTCTCTATACAACTCCTTTAATTGTGTTTTGTTGAACATATATGCACCCAATGATGTTAGTGCTAGATCCAATTTTTGGGAAGATATATTAAAGCTCAAGGTCTTTTTTCCTGATCCTTGGTGCATGGGAGGTGACTTCAATGAGATCAGACATATTGGGGAGAGGGTAGGCTGTTCCAGAAGAGACAGGGGGATGAAACAATTGAATGATTTTATTGAGAAATGTGAGCTCAATGATCTACCTCTGTATGGAAGGAAATTCACTTGGTATAATGCCCAGGATTCTGAGAAGTGGAGCCGAATTGATAGTCTTACTCAGTCCGGAGTGGATGGTCAACTTTAGAATGAAGCTTTGGGGCCTGCCTAGATTAATCTCAGATCACTGCCCCTTGTTGATGATGGAAGATGAAAGAGATTGGGGGCCTCGTCCTTTCAGATTTTTAAATGCTTAGACCTTACACCCAAGCTTCTCAGACCTCTTTATCAATTGCTGGA